AAGAATTCTAAGAAGAAAGTAAACCTACAGACATCGGTCTTGTTTAACAAAATCTGCCTGCAAGAAAATCTGTCACCAAAGTATACCAATATATATATATATATATATTCAGTGTATTGATTCAGCCCATGTTTTTAATAGAGCATTTGGATTGAGCTCTGTGTATCTTCAGGTAAAAACACAATTAGGCTAGCCAAAAATGTCTGGTTAACACATCGCTAACACTCACAGATTCAACAATAAACAAATTTCACTCTATTGCTCATTAATGTTTGGTTTAAGTATATTAATCAATAAACTTTCTTTTATTCAAGAGCTATGATTTTTGTTCTTCAGCACTACAGTTAATCTACACCAGTTTAGTACGTTTGTAATACAAAATATAAATTTGATAGTTTGTTAAAGTATTGTGTTTTAAAGACATTTTTATTTATGTATAGGTTTAATATTGTCATTTGTATTACACTGTATTATAAAACCATTTTGAAAGAAGCATAAAGAATTTTTCCTACATTTCTGTTTCTTCCTCTCTCTCTTCCTCTATATATTTACAAGGTATATATTGACAGTGGTCTGAATGTTGAAGTAACTTACAGATAAATGATACTTTGAGTAATTTCTTAACATCTTAATGTGACTATTATCCCTAATTATCATATAGATTTAACTTGTACAGATTTTTCTTAAAAATGTTTAGCACAAAATTTAGCATGAAGATAGCAGTTATGGTGTATTATTCTTGTAACTCTTCTCCAATCAGGTTCTTTCTTGTTGCGAACTTCACCTTGTTTTGTATTCAGAAAGCCAAGTAATAACTAATGAAGAATTACATAATGAACAGTAAAAACTCGTCAAATTCATATGTTTAAAATGCTCTAGAAAACATTTTACTGTTAAAGAAACTATAATAAAATTTAATCATATACTGTATAGGAAAATTTTTGTATTGCAAATTAACAAATTAAACATTAAGATATTACTGTATCCAAAGTTTTTGGGTAACTGCACTTAGATGGTTTTCCAGAAAGATCAAAAATAAATATAGCAACATTTATTACAAAAGAAATATCCCTCTAAAGTGGGTGTGTGAAGTTTAAGCCTAAGAGTAGCTTGTTTTAATGCATTTTGTGGTTAATTTGCCATTTTGTAATATTGAATTTGTCATCTGATGTTATAATTACATCATATAACCTTGGTCACAAAAGAAATTACTTCATTAGAAATAGATAACAATAAGGTTGAAAGGAAAAAAAATCATTGTAATTAAAGGAAAATAGAAGAAGAATGCACAACATTCAAATTTATATTCCTTTTGTTGTATTTTTTTTTTTTTGTGGAATATTAGTTGTAGTTAGATAAACTTTTGTTTTATCTATAAAATATCATTTTAGGATATAGAAATTCTGAGAAAGAAATTAGAAGAACAGTCTGGTAATCAGAAGGTAGAAGAGAAATTGAAGGTATGTATGCTGGGTGATAAAGTAAAAAATCCACTAGCAATATGGCTATGATTAATCCAGTTATCACTTAAAACATTTTCTCATAGTGGTAAATTTAAAACTATCTGAATTCTACATGTTTATAATGTTATTTAAGGGTATTTATTTGGTACTTAGGCTTGTGCTTATTTTCTAATTATAGCCATTGATTCCAACTGATCAACTAATTAATTTGGACTTTTTCTTTTTGTCTTGAAGAAGAGAAAAAGGATAGGAATATTTGAATGTCAAGTACTGTCATCCAATGTGATGGCTGTGAGCTATTATATGAAATGTTTAATTTAGTAAATGCTACACTGATGCTTAAATTTGTACTTTGTGGTTTAGAGCCTACTCTTGGAAAATGATAGCCTCAAAACAAGCATGAACAAACTTCAGGAACAGTTGGATACAGCTAAGATGGATAGTAAGACAAAAAAAGGAGCACTGGAACAGCTGAACCAAAGGCTTGCTCAGAAGGTTCAAGAATTCAGAGATATTCAGCAGGAACTTGCATCCATCCTTAACTCCTGATACAGCCCACCAGATCAGTCTACTATACTGGTCACAATTTCATACATGGAAGCAGCTTTGTTCGTTAGAAAAAACTTTGTTCATGGTAACCAGAGAGTAGCACCAGTCTCTGGTAGAAGTATCAAAGCTGTACACCAGTTTCAAGTCAATTTTCACTCCAGTTAAGTGTCCACTGAGATGTTACAAACACAACGATAATAAACACTGTTAGAATTTATTTCTTCATTGGTTAATTATTTAAAGTGATAGTAAGTGCAATCTGGAGTGCATAATTTTGAAAGATACAAGGTATAATTAATTCTTTAATTAAAGTTATAGTCAAGAAAATATTTATTGCTGTATTGATAGGAAGTCTCAATCATGAGTTACTATCTTCCTTTGAGAAGGAGTTTATATTCCTCAATAGTGATTATAAATAATTTAAAGAAATTGTACACAGTTTTACCCACCTGTTACAAGAGTGCTCAAATATTAGATTAATTTATCATTAACAGGAACTAGAATATACTTTTCTTTTCTTGATAAGGAGAGTATGTTGTAATAGAGTTTCAAGAAAATAACGTAATGACTGAGATTGCCATTTGTCAGTACCCAGTATGCTGATGATAATTTTGTGTTGTTGCCCTATAAGAAATATACTACCAATTATTTGGTTCTTAGTGTTGTTTTTGCCTTTCTGTCCATGTTGCATATATAAACAGTGATATATAATGCTTCTTATATGTGTATATCTATATATATATACATACATACATACATACATACATAACTAAATTGTCTTTAATTTAAAATAGTATTTTCTATTATTTTGTGTTCTTAAAATTAGTGGTAATTTTTGAATTTTAAGTGAATCATCAGACTGCACTGTAATATGGTCATACATACATACATACATGTAGTATTAGCAGTAAAAAAATTCTCAAAAATTTCATGTGCTCAGTTGGTCATGTAGCCCAATTTTTTGTATGCTGACTGAAAAATTTTAAAAGTTACATGCCCAAACTTTAAAATAAACATGATTTATTATTACCTTAAAATATCCTAGGTTTTAACCTCTTATAATTTAGTATTGGTAGTTGACTTTTGGACTACTTACCTTGCTATATGTTTTTGCCATGAGTCTCAAATATTCAATGTTCCACTGTTCTGTTTGGCTGGAATTTGGCAGGATGGGGTCCATTTGGTTCTCATGAGGTCATTCATTGTGTCTATTGATAGATGTACAAAGTGAAGTTTTTAATCTATTTATTGAACTGATTCTCCTTTCATGTATAGGAGTGGAGACAGGACCAGCATAATTTAATTTTAACAGTAGAACATTTTGAGCACTATGTGATATAGTTCTGAACAGGTAACTGTATATACTGCAAACATATTACAAGTATTAATCTTATTTACCATTAATTTTAAAGTGATCCATTCATTCTATGGAGAGTTTTTCCTCTTTTCTTAAAACTGAATTGTAAGTCTTCATTTCTTAAAATTTTGTATAAGCTTCTTTAGTCATAAAATACCACAGAATAAAGTGAAAGTTTAATACTGGATTTTTCTGCAAAACCTGAAAATGTTACAATGCATCTAATCATATCAGCAACATAGATGGCTTTTTTTTCCACTGTAGGTGTTAGAAAATTCCGATAAATGAAATCCAGTGAAGTTCCAAAAAAGCCTTTTAGATGTATATGCAGTAATGTTGAATTTGAAACTTGACACCATTGTCATTATGCCTATTTAATAATGAAAGTCTTCCGGATATATCCAGAAATCCGGATATTTCTAAAAAATCCTGAAACCTCCGGTTTTCTTCCGGAGAAACACATTTTTTAAAATTATTTATTGGATTTTGGTGTTCCATGCCATAGATAAGCGTTTATGCAATCGCGCGGTTTGTTTACATTCGGTGAATGAGTTTGATTTTACAATAAATATATGTCTGATTTATTTTGAGCGATGTTTTAATAATGAATCTATTCAATTTCATAATAGTGTGAACTGTT